ATGTTAACTGCATCGGCAGTGCTTGAAGTCATGCAAATATGAAAATAATTTCAAGTAAATTACAGATTCAAAATTTCCTCACGAAAAGCAAAACCATTAAAACTGTTGCCGAATATTTGCACCAACTTCACCCATCGATGACTCGACTTTAGGCTGGGTTCAAATCCCGAGCCACTTTCAAGTGACAGCAGGAGTCTACAGTAACTGAGAAACAAAAAATGCACCAGACACTGGTGCGACGCCCCTGCGACGACGTAAAAACCAAAAGGGAAGCAGAGCTGCATTTTGAGTTTTGTTCGATGAAAAGATTAGCAATAACCAACAACTTACACCTTCTGATATGCGGCACAGACTTCGGTCAAGTTGCGACTTGCATGACATGCCGACATCTCATTTAACGTCCTGAACACTGACCATTCTTTGCCACTTTTACGGCACAAATTCCAAAACGTACAAGCTCAGGAAGGCTTCGATTGCACTGCAGAGTCCCCACTATGCATTCATAACACCATTTCATATTTTGATGGTGTGACGCTGGCACGCAGCCTTTTGGCGGTCCTGGCTGCCATCCGGGGCGGTATTTTCACCTCGGCAATGGAGACCTTTCTACGTCTATATTAAACCTTGTTGATCCATCCTGTGTCACTCCTATTGAGAACGTCTGCTCCCCCCCAGCCTCCTCTCCTCCCACTCAGCTACTACATGCCATGAATGGGACGGAGACAATGCAAGCACCTACGGTAGGTCGCGCCGTGCTAAATAAGTTCAGCGGGTTCAGTGTCAGGTGACTTTCCAGCGACATAGTCGACAGATGCCGCATAGCAACAGTATGACAAAGTCAACTGAATGACTGGTACCTTCACACTTGAAACAAACAACCCTAAAAAAACACACACACACACACACATAAAAAGTTAACCACTGTTGAAAATAAAATATGTACTCATCCATATCTTTGCTGTGAAACAAACACACTTATTTAACATCATCATTAGTTTTGTAGAGTTTGGTGTATTGTACTGAGCAGCCTGGATAGAAATGCAGATCGAACGATGCACTCAGAGCTCATTGGTTGCATTTCATAAGCACCATGGGAACAATACAAATTTTCATGATAAAATTAAGATTTCAGTGGGAAAATATGACGAGCCAAAAAACACAGTTGCCCAAGTAGAAAAACATGGTTGTCTTCGACAAATGAACATATCATTTTGAAGAAAAACTTGAGTCTTGACGCAACGCACTCTCTGAGCTGAAGTCTTGCATGACATCACGAAGGACAACCGTTCAACATTTTCATGGAACTTTTGAAGGCACGCCTTTCATGAAAATTTCGGCTGCTTTCCAAATGGCTATGACCTTAAGTGTTGAAGCTTGTCCTGTCGTAACATTCAACACACTTCAAATCAAAGCGCCGTTTATTTGATGCGAAAGCAGTTTAACAAACAAATCCGCCTCTTCCAATGCACGCGGTGATTTCGCTGAGGGCTGGATGTGATGTCATGGGTGTCTAAAAGTTTAACAAAACCAAAAACAATCCCAGTAGAATTTATAAAGCAGTATCTGGAATATTTCTTCATTTTAAGCAAATGTAAAGGAAAAAAAAGGGTGATTTAGCGCTGTTACTTTCACAACAAACCCTCTGAAGAGCCTCAGATACAACTTCGTCACATGATAAATTTCTATACGCAAACTGGGAATCGCACCGTAAAATAAAGCGCTCTATATGCAGTGAATGGAGAAATATCATGACGTAATTTGGCAAAAAAACAAGCGGTAATGAAGACATTCATTACAGCTGTAATGTGCTCGTGAATGATGGTGAAGGTATTGATCATCATCGCTTGACCACGTGTGACGCACACAAAAAAAAAAGAGCATTTTGTGTTTCCATGCATCACTGTCGTTTTCAACGCATTATCCAGTGCTTTGCGATACAACACACAGTTACATTTCTACACTTGGCATGATTTAATGCTACAATCCCATGCATTGTACCGCTCCTTCTGGTCTGCCCACCTTGGCCACCTGGAGGCAGTATAATACTGTACAGTCATGGAGACACAAATGAAAAACAGACTTCTTTCAACACAGATACTCAGTAACACGCTGTAATTTTCTGGGGAGGATAAATAATATATGCCTGTGAGTATTGTTTTCGTACGTGTCTAAATGTGCTGCACTATTTTTGTTCATATAGGTATGCGGTATGGGGTTCAGGGGTCACTCCTTAAGACTTTCTATAACTCGGTGGTGGCCTCGGCCATCCATTATGGCATTGTCTGCTGGTCAGGCAGCATCTCGGCCCGGGACAGGAAGAGATTAGAGCGACTAGTCAGGAAGGCTGGTTCTGTCCTGGGCTGCTCCCTCGACACTCTGGAGGAGGTGGGCAACAGCAGGATGCTAGCTAAGCTAAAAGCTATGTTGGACAGTCCCTCCCACCCCCTCCAGCCAGCCCTGACAGCACTCGGTAGCTCCTTCAGTCAGAGACTGTTACACCCGCGTTGCAAGACGGAGAGATACCGCCGCTTGTTCCTACCGACTGCTGTCAGGCTGCTGAATAAAAAATGAATAAATAAATAAATCATAGAATTATTTAAATGATATGACAACATATGTGAATAGTACTGTGACTATTGTATTATATTGCACTTAATTATTGACCTTATCCATGTTTGTATTTATATTGCACTTAATTGAACTGTGTTTTCTTTTCTCTTCTTTCTACCCACAATCTTGCTGCTGAAGGCTGTAAATTTTCCCAGTGTGGGACAAATGAAGGATATCTAATCTAATCTAATCTAATCTAATGCGTTGCTTGTCAATGCACGCTATTGATGCTAACCATTAGCATGTCAATGACATTTTCCATTTTGCGTGTTTGTGCTAAGCGGACCTGAGGCAAAGCTGTTTTAAAATGTTGTTTTAAATACGCAACATGTAATTAGCTCTGTCTTGTGCTTAGTGTGACAGTTAGCCTCAACCGCGAGAGGCATGAAGCCATTCGAAGCCTCTTTTTTGATGAACTGTTGAATATTTGCCAAACTGATGCTTAGTGTGAAGTGAGTTGAACTGGGGGCGGAAACTATTTCACAACAGAATCTAACGTCCAAAAATATGTTGTTAATTTTCATCAGAAATGCTATTTTGTGTCAGGGGACTATACGAGCGACACTGTTGTGTCATTAAACAAACTGGCAGAAGGGAGGACATCAAGCGGGTTGCTGTTCTCAGCTGTTTTTGAAAGTTGCTCTAAGCAGGGAGGTGATGGAGTGACACAGATTTTACGCGTTTTGGCAACACGTGCAAGCACTCCAGCAGGCTCAGACGGCCCTCGAAGGCATGAGTATGCCATCGTGTGAACATGGCACTGATAAGTTGGTCTAAATGCATCCGCTGATGGTTCTGAAGTGCTATAATGACAACGATGAACCCGTGCTCGCGGCAACTGGGCTGCACGGCGAACAGAAAGTCTTTGAACGCAACAAACACAACCAAACGTCCATTAGAAATATTTGACGTTTCCGACTGGTAGACAAATGTGGCGTCATGTGGATGAAAAACAAAAGGAAGCCCAGAATAACACGGACATAATAAAAACACCCCAAAACAAATACTCGACTTTCACGGGAGTCATTTATTGGGAGTTTTGTTTCAAGCGCTTTTCAAACATGAGAACAGTCTCCTGTCTTCAGCATACACTTTTACATTTCTGCTTTGTCTTTTTTTTTTTTCATGACTAAGCTTTAACACGTAGGCCTCGTATTTGCCTCGTGTCATTTATCATCAGCAATACAATTACATGAGTATTCGTCGGAGATGAGTCCTCGTCAGGTTAAGATTGTTTTAAAAGAAGGCACTTACCATTTACGCTTGTAACCATCTATAAAACGATACAATATTACGGAGTGGTCGTGGACGCCTTATATCGACTAGGATCCTTGTGATGTAGATTTGATCACCAAAATAAAATGTGCTCCGAATGCCCTCCTTAGTGCCTGAGCCACTCCTGGATTCGGTGTCTGAATTTGTCACTAACACGGAAAACATCGTTTTTGCCGTTCGCATGAGCAGTGAGGAGAAAGCGAACCTGGTCTGAGAACCACAAATCATCAATAATTTTCTGAAATCAAAGGTCATCCAGTTTGGCCCCCTCCAGCATTAGAGTTGAGATTCTGAACAGTTCCATTGGGCCTGAACTTATTGACCCATCTGGCTTTAAGCAGTTATACTTTCGTTGTTCAAACATGTCGCCGTGTGTCGGCATGAGAAAGATGATAGAATCAATTTCTCAGGTCATACTGGTGGTATTTGCTTTGACAGTTTGGCGGGCAAGGTTTAAGTTAAGTCAGTAGACATGAGACAGAGGTATGAGAGCGAAGGCAATGGAAGTGATGGGTGGAGTGATTTTTTTCTTGTCATTCTTTCAAATTTGGGATGTTGTGAACAACGCTCTTCTCCGGGTTGTGTTAAATGACATTTATTTTCAATTTGCAGCGACTTGGGTTGTACGGTGTTCCCTCGCGACTTGGTTCGGTGATTGCATTTTCACTCTATAGCGGATTTTCATTTGCGAGCGCAACTTCATCCAATGCAGTTTTACATTGCTATTTTGCGGGTTTTCTTGCAATTTTTCATCCTAAGTCATACCAGTCAAGAAATGGACATTAAGATCGCGTTCGGTAATTTACTGTGGAGCCCACGCACTACACTTAAGATGTGTGTATTCAGAGAAGCACAGAGCGCTCCCTTCTTATTAGCTTCCAAACGTGGCCTATGTTCTAAACTAAACCAATCAGCAGCTTCAATTGTTTCCATCGAGAGTGTCTAACGGACTGAAGCACCGTGTTCCCATTTGGAGCACCTGTACATTGACACTCTGTTTTTGGTGCAAGCTCAATAACCGAACGGCACTTTGGAACAACATTCTGTTTGGAAAATCAGATGATTCTTGGAATGCGCCGCAAATAGTGAGGGAACATTGTAAGTCGTCTGTTTTGTAGAACATTTTTTAGGCCAGTGTGTGTGTGTGTGTGTGTGTGTGTGTGTGTGTTAGGGGGAGGGGGGTGGGGGTATGATTACTCAAGTAATCAAGGGCATAATTAATAGGATAGTCAAATCTAAAGAGGTTTGTTCGTGACAGCCCTAAATTACAGCAATCTGTTGTTTTTCCTGAGGGAACCGATGTTTATTTGTTTTAGCGGCTGACAACCCATTGGGGCACTATTTAAAGAAATTCAGTCATACATCAGTACAATACAACAATAAATCAATAATGGGTTGTATTTGCTGTAGTGTGATATTATTATTATTAATACTCATACCCTTCCCCTACTGAGGATAACACCATTAAATGCTGTGGCAAACGGATAACGGCCATTTGTGGCTACACATAACATAGTACTGTATACAACGGCTTGTTATTCTACCACCGGCTAAAAAAACCCATTTCAAATTCCCCTCATGACAAATAAATGTAAATGTCGAATTCTTGGACACGCTGCAGGCAGCTGGAAGAGCGAGCGTCTTAAAGAGTGGTACTGACTGCTTTGTTGATACGACCCAGGCCAATATAATCAGTAACAAAAGCAACAAGTAGATAGTAATGCTGAGGACAGGAGAACAACTTTGTTTTTCCCACTGTGTGCGTGTTTGTGTCGGGGTCAGATCCGAGTCAGTTGATGCCAAAAACTGGACGGCATGAAGCTTTCCATCTTGTCCGCGAAGAATCCCAGTGGTGCGAAGAGTGTGCTGAAAAACTGGAAAGGGAGGGAAGCTGAGTGCCACTATATAACCTTCAGAATGTGTAACCGCTGTTAAAAATGTTGCTGGATTTATGTATTCCAAGTGCATTTTACACAATTTAACAAACGTGTGTACCAGTCAACCCCTCGAATTTTTATGTTTGATAACACGTTTTCAAAGGATAACACTGAAGAAATGCCACTTTGCTACAATGTAGTCAGTGTACATCGTGTATAGCGGCCTAAATTTTATGCAGTTCCATACTGAACTTCGTCATCATTATAAAAAAAAAACCATTAGCAATAACATCAAATTTAAAATATTTGCTCCCAGTTCCACTTGAGACTTCAGTTTTAATACTAATGAGTCACATAACACTAAGGAGGGAAAATGGCTAATTGGGCCATATTTTGCCATTTTCACTTAGGGGTGCACTCACTTTTGTTGCTAGCAGATTTAATGGCTGCGTGTTGATTGCTTTAAAGAGCAAAATTTAATATCTCAATATTCATTTCAGATATCTCGGTAACGATACATGCACCCATGTTGGAACCTTGATGAAGTGAGGACCCCGGTACTCTTAATACATAATGTTACAAAAGTACAGTTTAGTATTGGGGGTGATTGAGGGGGATGGGATTTTGAAATGTTCAAATCTCACATTAACAGGCTGATGTTGAGTATTACAGTTTGATAAAGTTTGAATCCAAACTGATTAAACCAAGACACGGCATAACACAGTGTGATAACCATTAGAGTTGCAAAGGAGTGGGAAATTTCCAGTAAATTTTCATGGGAAATCACGCGGGGGATTTTTACATAGATTTCAAATTGAAAACTTTCCATGGGAATTAAGTGCAATTGAGAGGAATTTAATGGAAATGTATCATATATTCAAGCAAATGTATTCTCATAAAATCCAGTTCATTTTCATGGAAAAATTTCCAACATTGAAACCCTCAGAAATGAAAGGAGTGAGATTACAAGCAATTTATGCTCGCACTTGGATGTTGTCGTCAGGACTAGACGCTTAAGAAAAATGTGCTTTCCCTCAAAAATGGCAAAGAAGACCTTGTGTCTTTCCCAACCTCGCCGTCCCCCTTTGGTGGTTTTCATGTACTCCATCTGAACATTTACACAAAAGCCAGCTTGCCAAACTTGAAATCCCATCCGCGCCATATCTTTTCTCAAAACAAAACAAAAAGAGTACTCAATGTTCTCGGGGACAGTGTTGAGGCCTCACGTCGGTCCGACTAATAAACATGACGGCCGTGAAGTGAGACGCCCGCCAAACAACACCTTAGCTGTAAATAAACAGCACACGGAAGTCACGCACGCAGAGTTTTATGCGGCTGTGTTTTCAATTGGCGCCCGGCGATACCTTTGACTGGGCTCGAGCTTGTGTTGGCAGGGGAAATGCGTTACACTTTACGGGCCTATGGCTCCCATGAGCCTGACAGTAATGCAAGGCGGTAATTACCGCAGGAGGCTCATATTACAAATAAGATTATTGAAACTTTTAAAAGAACAAAAGTGGGGGGTCAAGCAGATATAAGTTCAAGTGGTTGGGAGTAGCGCAGGGGGAGCCTTTTAAGGCGAAGAAAGTGAGACGTGCAGAAACTTACTGCTTTGGCGAAGACGCCCATGAGCTCGGGGAACTGATGTGTGAGCATGGCCAGCATGGCGGTGAAGGAGCAAAGGCCGGCGGTGAAGAGGATGAAGAAAGGAAGCTCTTTCTTTGGGTACACCGACACCTCATGGAATGCTGGAGGGTGAGTAGATGGAGTCGTGGTGTGAAAATCCATAACAAAAGAGGGTTCGATGGAGATATATAGTGGTACCTTGAGATTCTTCCAAGCTTGGAAATCAATGTACTCGAGTATCAAATCAATTGTCCAGATTTAAATGAACTGAAATGCCATTAATCTGTTCCAGCCTTCAGAAAAAATACATCAATTTTTGTTTCATGTTGTTAATAAAGAAGAGCAGCACCATCCTAAAACATAAAAGTGAATGTAAAGAAACAAACTGGTTTCATAAACTAACACACACACACACACACACACACACACACACACGTTTATACACACACACACACACACACACGCACGCGCGCATGTGTGTATATAAACACAACAATACATTTATGTGTTAATGTGTTCCTTGAAGGGGAGTGGCCAAGTGAGTGCCTAAAGCCCGGTTCACATGGCAGGATATTTGACCCAATTGTAGTCCCACGATTGTAGGTCGTCCCCGATTCTCGTAATGACTCTTTTTTTCTCGTCACATCTGGGGTCTCTCACAGTTTGGAAATCGGCTGACGATTTTAAAATCTTGCGGTGTGAACCAGGAACCTGGTGTCAATCAGTTGGTGAGTATTTGAGTATATGTTGGTTAGAAACTAACTGACAACAATGTGTTGACACTGCACTTGAGACAATTGTGTTTCTGTGTCGTCAGCCACTTGGAAATGCTGGCTCTTCGCCCAACCTCGCTGCCAAGTCATCGGGGGAGAAACGAGGCATGGGGCAATTATTATTTACGATCTGCTTTATCCTCACAAGGGTCGCGGGGGTTGCTGGAGCCTATCCCAGCTGTCTTCAGGCAGTAGATTTTGATTTGACTTTTTATTAGGTCTCCCGTAGGAGAAACTTGTCTCGGAGGACAGTCCCTCTGTGCTGCTACATACCATTGAGCAAAATACATACACAACACAACATAATTCGGACAATTACATCCAAGACAAGACAGTATATACTCAACACACATTGGACACTACAGTAGGTGGGGGACAACCTGAATCGGTTGCCAGCCAATCGCAGGGCACACAGAGACGAACAACCATCCGTGCTCACACTCACACCTAGGGACAATTTAGAGTGTTCAATCAGCCTGCCATGCATGTTTTTGGAATGTGGGAGGAAACCGGAGTACCCGGAGAAAACCCACGGCAATTGCCGCCGGCAATTATTATGTACAAAGTAAATAATTTGTGCCGTTACGTCAACATGGCAAAATCCTGAATGACATGCTCTAAGACTCATTTTTGGAAAATAGCAGCCAATTTAATTTGTTGAGTAATATGCTTAATGGGTGGGCAGACACTCCAAATACACAAGTATTTGCATACAAACAATTTAACAAGCCCATTAATGCATCCATCCATTATCTGAACCGCTAATCCTCACGAAGGTCACGGTCGCACTGGAACCTACCCAACTACCTTTGGGCAGTAGGCGGGGTACACCCTGAATTGGCGGCCAGCCAATTGCAGAATTGAACTAGTCATTATTTCCGTATTATCTCCTCTCTGAAGGTGTTTCTGTCTTTTGCTTACATGGTAACAGCTCCCGATCTGCCGTTTCTGTGCATCCTGGGTACGGGTAGAACAGGTGACCCTTCTCCAGTGGGTAGGGAATTATCCGGAAAGCTGCAAATACACACACCGTTTAAATAACTCACATTCAATAGCTCAATTCTTTAAAAAAAACAAATCAAATAAACATCTAAAATGCTAAATTTGTGATACAAATTCATAGTCAGAGAGAAACATATGGTCGTGTCCTGTCCACTATGTATCCCAATTGTTTAGGATACAGGACATGTCCTATTTCCACTATAGAATTTATTCCACAACAATGAAGAATATGCCCTTTGAAATTATATGAACAGGTCCTAGAGAGGACCCTAATATGATGTTTTGAACGGGAGAATTTACACATAACAGACATGAAGACCAATTTCATGTTGTTTAAGTGAAACAGAATTCTTGAGAAAAAAAAAATCCAAGCCGATGTTTGGTAGTTACATCCGTGACTCTTAACCAAGCATCCATGTACAATAAGTGGTAATTTTTTCAGTATGAGAAAGACCACAACATGGCAATTTATATGGCCTAAAAGCAATCATGACGAAGAACGAAGCGATTTGTAATCAAAAGTGGATAACAGAGAAAAGGTACTTACTGCCCTCCCATGTACAGTGGAGAAGGTTTAAGGCGCCTTCGGCCCTCTTCCAGTGCTGCAGATGGAAGAACGCGTACGCCACCGCCTCGCTGTCACCCCTCTTCAGGATGTGCTCTGGCGGCAGGATCAGGCTCTTCATTTCTAATAAGTACTAAATAAGAAGAAGATAACAGCAAATATATTAAACATTCATCGGGCGAGCTGCTGTTTCTCGCCCCCAAAAAAAGTATCAACAATGTCCACATGCTTCAAACCCTTTAAAACTCCTAACTTGAAACTTAGGGACATTTTATGCCTACGCATTCAGTATTTTGTTTTCAAGCAATTTTGTCTATTTTATACTGTAGAGGTCGAACTGGCCAGAGGACATTTTTAATAAAACCTGCCCCCCGCAACCAAAGTGACACGCAGTTATTATTTCAGTAGTGATGCACCTTTGCAGAAGACACTGAAGCCCATATGTCACTGAGTGGCAAAGGTTGGCAAGTGAGCACGTACGTAGCGTGTGTTGTATTTGTGTCAGGTTTCATTCAGCATTGCAAAGACGTTTGCCAGTTATTCCTAAACAGTTGTTCACGTCGCCATTAAATTTTGAACATGTTCCAAATTTCTTTGCGACAAGAAAAACTGTTTGAGACTCTTAAAATTGTTGGCGAATGTTTTTTGCGACCATTTGGAACCTTGAACAAACCCTGATGAAAAAAACAACATTGGCTAGGTGCATTACAAACTTGCAAACGTCGGCCGCTCAGTGAGATATGGCCTTAAGGTGTGAAATTTTGCTCCATGCTTCGAATGGGAAAAAGTAGCTCCTTCTGATGGGCAAATTGAAAGCTGGTAGTCCAAACTGAAATCTTACCATGAAGGATTGCCTTTGTTGACCACCTTTGCGAGGATAAGCCGTTTGGAAAATGGATGGATGTTCATGGACCAAAATTGCTTTTTCAATGCTTTTTTTGATTAGACAGTTGTTTTTTTTAATGCAAATACACTTGCATTTAAAGGGAAAAAGACATTTGATATCTGATTTTTGTATTTCCATGCCGCGCAGTTTTAAAAGATTGACTCTTTCCAAGACAGGTCCTGAGGAGAGCCACTTACCCGGAGGGGTCTACCTGTGGCACTTCGTTTCATTACATGGACTCATATGCTTTTTAAACTGATATTGTACAGGACACAATCAGGTGATTGATGTTGCCCACTTTGTATGCTGGACGAAGCATCCCTCCATGTATGAGCTCATCTCAAGTTCCCCCCCATCCACACAACACCCCCCCCCCCCCCGGCGCGCACACACACACACACACACACACACACACACACACACACACACACACACACACACACACACACACAAACCCTCAAATGGGTTTTCTCTTCGTTTTTCCTTGCCTGGATAGGGGTCTAGACCAGGGGACGTCATTGATTTTTTTGAAATGGTGGCCTGCTGGGCTATAAAAATGACTTGATATGAATTCAAGAACTGATTCACTTTTCAGTCACTGTACACCATTTCCATTTTATGACTAAAAATTTGGGACCAAATAAAGTCACATCCATTATGGATGTGTCATTTTATCAACAAAGTACACATAAACTATAAAAACAAAAAACGCACACGCATCCGCGCGCTCACACACACACACACACACACACACACACACACACACACACACACACACACACACACTGAAGGCATAATCCGGTTCTACGGAATTTTAAAAAGCAAAGCAGCCAACTGTGAAAGTCGACATTCTTTTGGTGGCCTCCAAAGGGATGATGCAATGTGCTTCCATATCATGCTGATGTGACTTGGCTTTATAAAAGAAAAAAAAAGTCTGCCCTTTGTGGTCAAGTCAATCTCTTTCGTCTACCCCCCCTCATCTTTTCTTTTCTTCCGCCTCACTGACTATATCCTATTGTGCAATTCCCTCTGGCAAACTCCCAGTAGACTAAAAACATACTTTGTTCATGTGAGGTATTTAGCAAGAGCCTCCTTTTTCGTATGTCGGGAGGGTGAGGCTTCCCAAAGAGAGGTGTGTTATGGTTCCACTACAGTACAGTGATTCCGTGCATGTGTAATTTAGCACCCCCCCACCCCCACCACCACCTTCTTGTAACTTTGTCCTAGTGACTCAGTCGGCTCACTAGGCTGACAAACGTAAACCCAATTCCACAGCCGTCCGTATTAAAGACGCAAGCTGTAGACTTTGATGAACACGCCAGGCTCTATCTGTCATGTCAGTGGTTTCCAGTGTGGCAGAACTCCATGTCAAACAAAACCCGCATTGCAACCCCCAAGCCCCCGCCACCCCCAGGCCTGGATTCCCGGGCGGCCAGTTTCACAGCGCTCTGGATCTCAGACACTTTGGGAAGGTTACCCCCCTTTGGCCCTTCCCAAGATAATCCTGTCTAATCCCCTTCCATGGTCACAGGCTCATCCAGCCAACCCGGGCGACCATGTGGCCCACGCTTGGTCATCTCCTCCTCCGTTTGCCATCTGACTCTCGTTCATCCACGTCAAATGCGTCCTTTTGCCTTGATTTATCCCCTACAGGAGTCCCATGGGCGAAGAAACAAGGCTGTAAAGCAGAGCCTCTGAAGTCAAAAAAAAAAAAAAAAGTCCAACAACATTTGAGTTCGCCCAGGAAACTAGTCCACAAATTTAACCATGACCATGTTACAGCAGCAAATCCTGCAAAGACTAGAGTGAAGCGAGTATCTGCAGGTGCAACTTCACAAATATTTAGCTTTTCCTTTGATTTTTATTTGATTTTTTGTGTGCGTGATGCCTCCACAGAAGAATGATAGAAAAGAATGGTGCAATGACACATTACAATGTATTTGATTATTTTGTGTGTGTGTGTGTGTGTGTGTGTGGGGGGGGGGGAATTGACAAACAATTTGAGCAAAACTTCGATGTCCAAAAGTATTCAAACTCTCGCTAAATTTTGCGCTATCCAAAGATACCCTTGGTTTGTCCTTTTTTAAAGGTGTTCTCAAATTTCTCAGATGAGATGAAAGATCCTAGAGAAGAAAAAGGCACCTTGTAATTCTGGTTAGCATGATCACCTCACAATTCTGTGATTCAGGATTTGAATCTCTTAACTCCTGTGTGGGGTTTGCACGTTTTCCCATGTGTGTGGGTGTTTTCTCCAGATAATGCAGTTGATGTTTGGTACAGTGACTCCTCTCGATTGTGTGTGTAAATGTGCCCTGTCATTGGCTTGTGACAAGTCCAGTTTATACCCCGCATCTCTCAACAATAGTCTTGAGGGCATAGACTCCATCTTTATCTTAATAAATCAACATTTAATATTTTCTACAGGCATCATGTAACATATGCGAGGGGGTTGTTTCGAGTTGTGCACTGAATTATTGCAACCTTTGGTATCGTATACTGTATAAAGTATACAAAACATGCTTCACTTTTAAAACATCGGTCGCGCAAATGCTGGAGACAATGGAAGATCTCCTAGACATGCTCATGATTTTCAGGGGTGATATTCGCGCAAATCATGAATAATCAGACATAAACTCTGGAGCAACACATACACACAGGTAACATAATACTCTGAGGCCCCCAATCTGTGAATATATTACTAGCGTTAAATTGCTACTTTCTTCTAATCTCGTTGTGTGTACTCTCAATGTATGGCGCCACACACGGAGGAACAGCTGTTATCTATTTATTAATTTTAAAACTGCTATTATTTAAGTATTATTCTGATTTTACTTTGTGTTTTTACCTTGTTGTCCTTTCAAGTCATATTTAAAGTTCATCTTAAAAGGATTCAAGTAATTTTATTTTCCCCAAAATTCAAGGTTACAAGATCAAAAGACTTGTTTTTGTTACACCAACACAAATTTCCATGATATGGCACAAAGTATGATACCTTAAGTCCCAGGTTAAGCCAGTAATTCACAAGACTTGTGAAAATAAAGGCAGAACAATAACACAAGATAAAATAAATGTGATAAAGAGATAAGGAAGGTGGCTTTGTCATGGTTTGAATCTGTGCAAAGATGCAAGACATCAAAGGTGTGGATGGAGAAGAATGAAAATGCAAGACGCTTGAATTTCATATTACATTGACAAGGTCATCTTGTACTTGACACAAAGAATAGAAAGCTTTGCTTCTGAATGTCGTTAACTGCTATGTTTGCAAATGCTTGTTGGTGTTGCGTCTTTGCTTGCGTGAATGCTTGTGTGAAGCACATTGAGTTGACTTGTGGATCAAAGGTGCTATATAACTCCAGCTGACTTGCCTCGATTTGCCTAAGATCAAAACAATGTCGAATACATCTGATGTTGTTTACTGTGATACAGATAAATGTATTGTTTGTGCTAACAATAATATGTAATACATTTGAAGAGCACCTTGAATAAAATAATTGCGATCGCAATATTGTCAGCGGGGGCGGGGGAAACGCAATTAGACTATTTTTCTAAATCGTTCAGGGCGAGCCAAAACGCACAGAAGAAAAGCTCACCACGCTCAATGCACATGGCCTTAGATTGATCATTGAGAGAGGCTCAGCTGTCCCTGCTTGAACATTCCACAGCATTAAACCTGGTGACACCTCAGTTCTCCGCATTGGGCTGTACCCCCCGCCCTTCCTCGCTTCTCTTGTTCTTAGATCTGCCTCTTCGCTCACTGTCGCCTCTTTGATGAAGGGATTGCGTTTCATGTGCTCTCCTTTTATCCCCGGGCACTTCTAAACCCAGAGCATAACTCATAAGCCGCCTTTTGACTCTAATCTGCAGCCCCTTTTACAATGGAACACGCCGAGGAACAATGGCATCAGGGCATGTAATTGGCTCTTTATGACTCGTAATACACATGCAAAAGTGAATTTTAGAGGCTGAGCAAACACCTCGGTGTAAAGTGGTAGAGGACTGTCCTAAAGCAAAAAATACACAAAATAAAATAAATAAACCTTTGGTCACTCATCTTTATTCCGAGCGCCAGGCTCTTACTCTGCGTCCGTTTTTGCGTGAAGAAAAAGGCAATCTTTTGGAAGTAAACACATCTGAGCTCTTGAATCCGGAGGGGAGACTGTCAGCCGCAATGAGGTGACAGGAGAACCTGTCGACCAAAGTGGAGCAAACTAGTGAGGTAGACAGGGGGGCTGAATTGCAACGACTTTGGAGGCCAAGGTAAATGTCAAGCAGATAGATGTAGCCAGGACACTTTATGGGCGCAACCAACAAGCCACGGGATGTCAGCTTCCAACCCGTACGGACAAACGGCGGCGGACTGAAATGGTCGGAAGGAAGAAAAGACGAGGGGCAAGACAAGTACTCGTTGTCATCTTGTGTCGAGACAACCTTTAAAATGATTAAAATTCTCACTTTGACGTCAAACAATCATTAGGAATTGACAAAAAAAGTACACAAAGTCAAAAGAGGGTTTAAACGGGACCTATTATGCACCACTCTCTAGAATGTATTCCCGGGTGCCTAAAAAACATGTTTGTGACATGTTTTTCATTAAAAGACTCCAAGGAGCAAGACTGACTTTGTTACGATGTTCACTGGGAGCAGCACTAGGAGTTTGGGAGGAGGCAAGCAGCAACTACAGTTATTGGGCAGGAGAGCACCCATAGACTGAAAAGCCATTTTTGTATATGCACTCATGGAGTTAGTCACCGAGCCACCAAATTACATTCGTCAATTAGCATTCACATGGATGTCGCCAGTGATTGACTGGCGACTAGTCCAGGGTGGATCCTACTTTTCTCAACTCAAGTCAGCTGGTGCAGGCTTCAGTTAAACAGAGACTGTAGAGAGTGCAAGCACTACAGAAGTGGGACAAGATAGGCCCTGTGATTAATTGGCGCCCACTCCATGCTGTATCTTGCTTCTCAGGCTAAAAGTCAGTGGGAGGAGACTTCAAGTCATCCACGACTCAAATGAGGACAAACAGGATAGAAAATGGATGGATCTGATTTGAATGGGATCTCCCTGAGTGTTTCCGTACCAGTGAGCAGAATCATGTTGCGCGCAGGAGTTGTTCCCTGACATCAAATACTGACTGTCACAAGATAAATTACGGCTGAACAATGAAAAATAATCCAATTGCAATTTTTTCCCTCAACACTGCGAATGTGATTTAAAATACTATCATTTTTTTGCAAGGTCCTCTTCGCATGTATGTTTTTTTTTTTTGCAATAAATTAAGGAAGTCTTACAAAAAAAATTCAAATGAATCATGAATTAATATGGAAGGCAGTTTATTTATCTACTTCAATTAGAGTTGTTAATTAACTTACTAGATCCTTTGTCTTGCAGCCTTTTGAACGTTCACTACCAAACAAGAGTGGCATAAACATATTCAGTAAGTGATAAATCAAAACAGAAGAATAATGCAAACAGATGTGTAGCCTCATCAATTAACTCTTCATGTTTCGTAAAATGACGGCATGTAAACATGTGCAAAGTGTTTCTCAAGCACTGACATTAACCAGACACTATTGAGAAAAATAAAATACCCAGTAAATCTATCCAACAAAAAAAAGCCTACCAAATTACCAAAATGAAGCGGTTATCCGTTTTAACTTGTCTAGAATTTATTACAATTAATTAATGAGCTAAATGTAAATATATAAAAAATAAAAGAATAAAGCCAACTGACTACATTGCAATGTGGATTTGAATTTGAATGCTTTTTCAGCCCAACTATAACGTTATCCTTCATTTGGTTATGCAGTTCAACAGTTAAAGATGCCAAAGGGGTCATTCTGTAAAGCCGGCACTGTTCTGGTAAGTTCAGACTCTGTCGGGCCTGAGCAGGTGACGAGAGGGGGATGAGGGAACATGAGAGGCCAAGAAACGAGATGAGGGTGCCTGATGAGAGGCCTGTGGGCTCCACCGAGGGGGTGGAAAGATGATGAAGATGAGGGCCCTCACACCAAAACGGTTGGATCAAAGAGCCAAAGTGACATCTCCAATCCCCAAACGCCCCCACCTGGCGCACACACATACACCGATTACTTTTCTCTCTCTCAGATATGATGTCCGACCTATGAAACCACACTTTGGTACAGAAGCGAGACCTTTTTCCATTTTATATGAAAGCCAAGCAAGGATCCAGTCTCATGACTATTGTGCATATCCAATAAAAACCTAATCAGTCGACAGTGATGTGGTTTGTAGAAAACGCTTTTAAACACAGTCTTTGCAATCAGCAATCAGAGCTTTGCAAAAATGAACCCAAGTGGGGTCACAATGCCCTCTGCTGGAGCGATGGTAGATCGCTTGCCGTTCACCAGGTGTCCTCGTTTACAGAGTTCTGTTCCGACAGTGTTGCCAAGCTTGAATGGGCGTCAGAATGTGCATTCATCTATCATTAACCTACCTGAATGCACGTACTTCATAATTAGTGTAACTATATGGAAGGAAAACATTTCCAGCCCATAAATGTGAAACTATCCCAAGAAAAACAGTAAACGCAGTGCGGAGTGGGCATGTCTTCTTATCACAGGTCTGTTAGTTACCCCTCGATTTTAATTACTCATCTTACCAGGATATTTTGAACAGCTGTACACCTTCAGTTCGGGGAAGGCCGGCCATTGCTCACAAGAGTTAAGCGTTTTAAAATGGATGCTAAAAATTGATATGTATTACTACCCACGTCAGGTGTGGAAGATCTTCACTGATGAACTATCATTTTGTAATTTAACTTATTAAACTCAGTTGAATGAAAACTTACACTGTGCTGTGTATTGTTGTGCTGCACACCACACAGAGAACCAGATCACAGATGCAGGCATACAAGAAGAGAGCGAGTGAAACGGGCACGCAAACCAAGCTGCACCTCTTGAGCAGGGCGCATGGAGACAGTGCCTCCTTCCTTGCTGAAGGGCACATCGGCGGTAGCAGCAAAGGAAACTGCTATTTCTACAACAAGTCCCAGAAAGAGGACTGGCATTTCGACAACAACGAGTTGCTATTTTTACATTTGGCCTGAGTGGGTACTAATACATTTGGTCAGTTTCAGGGGTCCTCTGTTTAGTTTTTTTGACACTGTAACTATAACTTCATGACTCCATTAGTGACAGAGCACGGACTATTATGACAAACTCCGGTTATGTTACCCCCAGGGGAATGGAACTCGGTCACAAACCCAAGACTACACAGAGCGCATGGACTGGTCTATATATCCCAGCGAGGACCACTGACCTTGGGCACGTGGGGATTGAACTCCACGGCTCTGTGAATGGCCTCCACGGCGTTCATCTCGGCAGTACTGAGCCCCCGCCGTGACGCTGCCTCTGGGGAGAACCTGATGGAACAAAAGGATGGATGTGACAAAAACGGCCTTTAAGGCTTGTATTCCTTGCTGTGATTGGGAAAGAGACGTACTTATCTGAAACAGCCCGCGCTTTCAGCAGGGCAGATGTGTAGCATATGGTGGCCGATTTCGGGAGGCTGATGTCTATGGTGGAAGCAGCGAGTACATAAAAGGACGTGAGAAATAATGAAGATGCCGCTCGAGTGCAATGCGGTCATACCGTCGTATTTGGCGAGGACAGCCTGGACATCGGCGTACGCCTGCAGCTCAAGAAGCGCCTCCAGGAGGTTTTCGTGTATATTTAACATCCCTAACAACGGGAACTCTTTCATTAACTGTCGGGGGGTACAAATGAATTCAAGCAGTCAGCATGAAGCTTGTAGCTTGTATTGGATGTATTTTACACTAGCTAATGTTGTGACAGTTGTGTTGTCCACTTACGTCTCTCATCATTTTCACGGCTTCTTTAATGCGTCCAAGCTTGCGCGCGCACATGGCCAATCTGCGCTTAATGTAAACAAGCAGGTTGATGTCTTTACCCGCTGCAAAACACAACAGATCAATCCACAAAACTTATGAGGCCGTACCAAAGTATTGAATTACATGGGTGTAATTCCTGTAATTCTTTTCAATGGCATATTTTGGTGAAACCACGAAAAAGGAACATGTTCACAGAACTTGGAGGAGGTTGGGATGGGGTATTAGTTTAAGTTACGTTTAATTGAAGACCTTAGACCACAGCAACATTCCTTCTCGGATAGATATGATGTAATTGCTGTACAGATTACATCAACTGATCCTCTAAAGTAAATTGACAAGCGCAATTCATTGACTTGGTGATAAAGTGGTGCCTCCGTGATTGAAAAATAAAACTGATGCTTTTAGGCGACTGTAGAACAAGTAGCCACTCGCCTGGTTGCAATGCCTTAGTTCTACCCTTCGTCGTCATGGTAATGATAGCTCATTGGTCCCGTTGGACAAGAGTCTGGGGTGAGCAGTGGCTTATTTGCATGAGACCGAACCCCTCAAACTAAGTGATTTCAAATCCAATGTGGTGGTGAAAAAGGGAAAACGGAACGAAGCAAAACAATCCATTCAAATAATAATGAATGAACTGGATAACAACACGTTTTTAATTCTACACACAGTCTGCCATTTATTCACGTCCATTTCTTACCGATGCTCAAAGCTTTTTTAAAGAGGCGCTCAGCTTCCGTGATTGTTGTGGCTTCTTCCTCGGCGAGGAGCACGTACGCTGCGGCACATCTGCAGAAAAAAAACCCGTTTCAGTTGATTATTCTTTTTGAAGATGACGGTCTTTCGTCAAATAGCGGCCGTCCCTGAAATAATTGCTGTACCACTCTCTCACAACAAAGAAACGCCTCCTTTTTCAGGAAAAAATAAATCATATTCACCTCCATTGTTGACATGCCAATGCTGAAGCGCAACCTCCTCAACCCATTTTAACTCTTACTAATACATTTGGTCAGTTTCAGGGGTCCTCTGTTTAGTTTTTTTGACACTGTAACTATAACTTCATGACTCCATTAGTGACAGAGCACGGACTATTATGACAAACTCCGGTTATGTTACCCCCAGGGGAATGGAACTCGGTCACAAACCCAAGACTACACAGAGCGCATGGACTGGTCTATATATCCCAGCGAGGACCACTGACCTTGGGCACGTGGGGATTGAACTCCACGGCTCTGTGAATGGCCTCCACGGCGTTCATCTCGGCAGTACTGAGCCCCCGCCGTGACGCTGCCTCTGGGGAGAACCTGATGGAACAAAAGGATGGATGTGACAAAAACGGCCTTTAAGGCTTGTATTCCTTGCTGTGATTGGGAAAGAGACGTACTTATCTGAAACAGCCCGCGCTTTCAGCAGGGCAGATGTGTAGCATATGGTGGCCGATTTCGGGAGGCTGATGTCTATGGTGGAAGCAGCGAGTACATAAAAGGACGTGAGAAATAATGAAGATGCCGCTCGAGTGCAATGCGGTCATACCGTCGTATTTGGCGAGGACAGCCTGGACATCGGCGTACGCCTGCAGCTCAAGAAGCGCCTCCAGGAGGTTTTCGTGTATATTTAACATCCCTAACAACGGGAACTCTTTCATTAACTGTCGGGGGGTACAAATGAATTCAAGCAGTCAGCATGAAGCTTGTAGCTTGTATTGGATGTATTTTACACTAGCTAATGTTGTGACAGTTGTGTTGTCCACTTACGTCTCTCATCATTTTCACGGCTTCTTTAATGCGTCCAAGCTTGCGCGCGCACATGGCCAATCTGCGCTTAATGTAAACAAGCAGGTTGATGTCTTTACCCGCTGCAAAACACAACAGATCAATCCACAAAACTTATGAGGCCGTACCAAAGTATTGAATTACATGGGTGTAATTCCTGTAATTCTTTTCAATGGCATATTTTGGTGAAACCACGAAAAAGGAACATGTTCACAGAACTTGGAGGAGGTTGGGATGGGGTATTAGTTTAAGTTACGTTTAATTGAAGACCTTAGACCACAGCAACATTCCTTCTCGGATAGATATGATGTAATTGCTGTACAGATTACATCAACTGATCCTCTAAAGTAAATTGACAAGCGCAATTCATTGACTTGGTGATAAAGTGGTGCCTCCGTGATTGAAAAATAAAACTGATGCTTTTAGGCGACTGTAGAACAAGTAGCCACTCGCCTGGTTGCAATGCCTTAGTTCTACCCTTCGTCGTCATGGTAATGATAGCTCATTGGTCCCGTTGGACAAGAGTCTGGGGTGAGCAGTGGCTTATTTGCATGAGACCGAACCCCTCAAACTAAGTGATTTCAAATCCAATGTGGTGGTGAAAAAGGGAAAACGGAACGAAGCAAAACAATCCATTCAAATAATAATGAATGAACTGGATAACAACACGTTTTTAATTCTACACACAGTCTGCCATTTATTCACGTCCATTTCTTACCGATGCTCAAAGCTTTTTTAAAGAGGCGCTCAGCTTCCGTGATTGTTGTGGCTTCTTCCTCGGCGAGGAGCACGTACGCTGCGGCACATCTGCAGAAAAAAAACCCGTTTCAGTTGATTATTCTTTTTGAAGATGACGGTCTTTCGTCAAATAGCGGCCGTCCCTGAAATAATTGCTGTACCACTCTCTCACAACAAAGAAACGCCTCCTTTTTCAGGAAAAAATAAATCATATTCACCTCCATTGTTGACATGCCAATGCTGAAGCGCAACCTCCTCAACCCATTTTAACTCTGTTGCTAACCAAAACAGGAGCAAAGAAGCAACTGTACGGCCTCCTCGGATCAATTTAGGTGTGGAGTAGTAAACAAGAGTTCTTTTGATGATCCTACATAATAATGGGAAGAGCGTGCCAGTATGTGGTCCCTCCACAATGTTGTGTCGTTCTGCCCTATCTGCCATTCATCATAGTAGTCCCTTGTTTTAGACTCCACTTTCACTTGACATTCGGTGTAATATGCTGCTAATGATGTTTAATATGATTTTTTGAAATGCCGTATTTATATAAATAAAAGCACCCACCCCACCGGCAGTACATACACCATTTTGGAGTAGGACTCACTCGTGGTTCAACTCTATGGCCTGGTAAGCTGCTCTAATCCTAGCTTGAGGATTTCTCTCCCTCCAGGCCTTCTGCATGACTGTAGGGACAAAAAGAAATTTATATCGCAGCACATTCAATTAGCCACTTGCTACTTGTGTGTAGGGCTGTGCGATATGGCTAAAATGTAACATCTCGATATTTTTGCCAGATATCTCGATAATGATACAAAAACAATATGACTATTGGTTCAGTTAAAAACATGCAGTTTTTTTTTAAAGAAAAAAACAAAAAACAAAATATCAATCCAAAAGGTGATGGAAAGTGTAGTTTCTTTTTTAGAACTTAGAGCAATCAGCATTAAGAAAGTTTAATTAAATTCACATTGTACAGCTAGTGTGCTTTCATGATGAATAACAATTTTATGCCAGTGACATGAAGCAAGGAAACAAGGATTGTGCCCTTGTTTCCTTCTGTCAGGGCCTCACCTCTGTAGGGCCTCACCTCTGATTTATGGCCGGGTTAGCCCTGATAGCTCGCTTCAAGTAATATCTGAATTTCGATACGATAAAGATATATCGCCCAGCCCTACTTGTGTGTGGGAGAGAACCAGTATCAGTATAAGTGTGTGTGTGTGTGTGTGTGTGTGTGTGTGTGTGTGTGTGTGTGTGTGTGTGTGTGTGTGTGTGTACTGTATGTCAGTCAGAAAGGGTGTGTCTCTGTTTTTGCCTGTTTGTGGACGTGAAAGTGTGTCAAAGAATGATCGAAACCCACCCGAATCCTCAGGCCTGAACTGCTGCGTTTCTCCTGTGAAAAAGGTCTGATGGTCTTGAGCCGACAAGTTCATGTCGTAGTACGTCAGTGGTTCTTTTCCCGTCACCCATGTGTACCTGAGTACCGCAAGAAAAGAAAGTATGAAAAACTATATAAATGATTTTTTTTTAAATTCTGGATAAATATGCAGTAGGTATCACATTTTAGGTATTTTTCTTCACCTGTTGTATTCTGCTCCTCGGAAAAGGTTCAAAGGATTCCTCCAGACTTTACACTCTACGAAGAGGAACACATCAATGAGCTTAGTAGGGTTGGTATTACAGATGTTTCAGGTTAAATGTGCGTCTGTTTGTTACCTGACACGCTGGGTCTAGGCTCGGCCTCCCCGTTGACAGACGAGAAGAGGCCAGTAGCTGAGCTGCTCTCCACTCCGCCGAGGAGGGGGCGCAGGTGGCTCACAGAGACCTGCTCGATGAAGGACGTGCCGTACTTCCGGAAGTACCACCACTCAAATATCTCCGAAGGGAAACATTTACAAAATTATCATGTTGATAAGTATTCATTTAAATTTGAAAAAAATGCAATTAATTAAAACATGTTTATTTTAAATGAGATTTATCCATTAATCTCCAAAATAATTGAACGGATTAATCGATTAATTAAATAGTATTGCAGCTTTATGACTGAATGCAGTTGTTTATTTAACACGGGCTCATGACTGTGTACGTGCAAGAACCATAAAGTGCTTTGCCACCATCTTGTGGCAGCCATACACAGTTACAAGACCGTTTTGTGGTGGGTCTAAGCAACTAAGATTGAAAAAAATTTTTTTTCAATCACCATGTGTGGTGTGTATTCTGTGTTGTTTCAGCTGTGGTCGTATGTTGGAGCACATGGCAGTGTGGGGGAAAGTGTATGTGGTAATAAGTGTGAGCCACCACAACTGTCTGATGCGTGCCGTGCCGCCCATCTCAAATAAAAGGGTTGACTTTGATTTACCTGTCTCTCATGTTTGAGTGCACAGACATGACAGTGCGCAACCTACTTGAGCGGTGGCAAATCAAAACGCATTCTTCAGTTGAATAACTTGAAAAGCATGATGCAAAGTTATTAGGGGTTACATATCAAGAGGATAAACAGGTCTGCATATGGCCAGATGTTACGTCTAATTTCATTAAAGAAACTGAAGACAGACAAAATGGTGTTCCTCCTCAATAAATAATAAGGATCCACCACCGCTGCCACTTGTCATGCTTGCTGGAGCCTTTTGAAATCGGAAAATGTTACACCAAAAAAAGGTGTAGTTTGCCTTACTTTATGAGGTACACTGTATGTAGTTCGTAGCAGTGGTAAACAACATTACTGCATCACACAGAGAACATCTTGAAAACTTGTCATTTGGGTGGATACAGCTCCGCTACTATATCCATAAAAAGACAACAATATTTTTTAACTCACAAGGATGAGTCCAGAGATGAGGGAAGAGGTCCCAGTGAGAGCCACGTAGAACTTGGGTGTCAGTGTATTCAAAAACAGCGACGCTGAAACAACAGGTTCAGATATAGGTCATTTGTGACAAAACACACACACACACACACACACACACACACACACACACACACACACACACACACACACACACACACACACACACACACACACACACACACGCGCGCACACACACGACAATTTGACAGATGGACAAAAAAAAAAACAGGTAAACAGAGAGAAAGCTGTGACACACAAAGACCACCACTGTACCACCATTCAGAATAATTATATAGATGTTCCATGACTAAATAACAACTGGGGTAAAAATAATCAACTATATGTCTGTTATTCAGGTCAATTACAATGCATAGAGATAAAACATACAATGGGAAGTGCCACAAACGTGTCACGAAATTCATGCCTTCGTCTTCAAAACGAAACTAAGCTCTTAAAGCAAAGCAGAAAGCAAGAGCGAAAACTAACAAAGTGCTAAACAGGCAGGTGTCAAAATCCTGCAAACGTCCGTTTCAGGGCAGCTAGCAGAGGCTAGCGGAAGGCTAACAAACGGTAACGAGCAGAGGCGTCCATTCACCCGATGTGAAGCTGTCCTGCAGTTTGAGCGGGCTCCATAGCACGTAGATCATAATGAGCACCATGCCGAACCACACGAAGCACACGTACGTCCACGACCACGAGAGCCACGACTTTAACTTGTCAGTGAAACCGGGTGATTGGGGATTACTGCCAGTAGAGTCCTCCATGTTTTCTTCCCCCTCCCTCCCCTCCCCGGATGTCTGTAAACATACGACTCACGTGACCAGAAATAAAGACGGTCTTCCTTTTTTTTTTTTTTTTTACATTTATGTTTTGTTTTTGTTTTCATTGAAATGGGCCAATGGCGATTCACAAAAAGTGTATAAAAAGTGAAATAAAGACAACTATATTTGTTTTGTTTGTTTGCTATTTCCAGAGGATCAATATTTTATTACTAGGTTTTAAATATCCTTTTTAAATAAACAAAAAGTGATTAATTGATTCAGGCCACAATTTCTTTAATTAATCTCTAGATTAACAGAATAAAAAAATACAATACCAAATTCAATAATATGCTGTTAAAATTCCAGATGTGCCACTACTTTCTCCAAATTTTTTTGTAAGATTTTTAAATTAACTAACCAATTTGCAATGCCAAAAATTCATAGAACAATGACAGAACACTTCGCATGTGATCTATAAAAATATAAGTACATGGAAAAAACACATTGGGAAATAACAAATAAAACTGGTTGACTGTTTGGCGGCCCGGTTAACGCATTGACCTGACAGTGCAGAGGTATGGGGTTCACTTCCGGCTGTTGCCTCCCTGTGTGGAGTTTGCATGTTCTCCCCGGAACTGCGTGGGTTTTCTCCTAGTACTCCGGTTTCCTCTCACATTCCAAAAACATGCATGGCAGGCTGATTGAACACTCAAAATTGTCCCGAGGTGTGAATGTGAGCGCGGATGGTTGTTCGTCTCTGTGTGCCCTACGATTGGCTGGCAACCGGTTCAGGGTGTCCCCTGCCGACTGCCCGAAGACAGCTGGGATAGGCTCCAGCACCTCTCGCGACCCTTGTGAGGATAAGACAATTAGAAGATGGATGGATGGATGGATGGATGGACTTTCCATACAAATACATTTTATTTAAAACACAAAATCCCCAACAAACACAATGAAATAAAATAATGTAAAATACATTGATCCCAATTTGAACAATTTGAATAGCTTTGTTTAAACAAGCTATTCATATTTGCAGTCATAAACATAAGCTAAAATAAAATATTACAAAATCAGCAATCGACTCATTCAGAATATCTTTTATACATATTTACTTTTAAATAATAAATAGCTGGATTCCACGTCAAAATAATTGCGCACTCTGTTTTATTCTATATATATCCATGTGGCAGAACGCGTGAAATATTGAGCCCCTTGACGTTGTACTTCCCGAAAAATTTCACTAGGATGTGCTTTTATTTACAGCCAGCTGGTGGTGCTAGTGTATCTTTAATACATCTACTCGACATGCAGTTGTTTTGAGTGTAATGTCACTCCCCCAACCTCCCCAAATCTTCCATCTCCTTGCTATAGTCACAGATGGAAAATATCTTTTTCTTTTTATCAGATATCATTTTTTGAGATCACATCATACAAATGGAGTCCAAGCATTTGGGGAGAAACTATTATTTGATCCCTGCTCACTATGCAAGTATGCTCACATAGAAAGAAATCACACTCTTTTATTAAGCGTACTCCATATGGTTGTTTATTGATCATAGTAATAGACAGAATGCCAGTCGGGAATCCATGATGATTTGATCCCCAAATAAAACATAAATAAACACAAAGTGGAGAAACCCTTTTTTGGCAAGCAAAGCAATGAAATAAGATTTTGGCCAGAAACTCGATCTCTAAATCCTTCAATTTTCTCGACTGCCACTTGAAAACTCCAAGCGCAGGTTTTCTGTTGGGTTGAGGTCTGGAGACGGACCAGGCCACTCCATGACCTTAACATTAATATTCTTCGTGTCTTGCTGATGCCGACAGACCAATCCCCAACTCATCTTTCATGTTCTTGAGAAGGAAAAGAAGTTTTCATCCAAAACATTCTATTCATTGGCCCCAAAAACATCATGTTTTCCCCTCTATTCCTGATTGTGAGGATCGTTATCTTTTTAGGTCATACTCACGTTTTCCCCCCTCCAAACCTGGTGAGTGGAATTGTTGCCAAATACTGTAGCGCAACTTTGGTTTCATCTGTAATTTCCCCCCACCATTTCAGAGGCATTTAGATATTCACCGGCGAACTTAGAGTGAGTCTGGAAACAAATCAGAAGGTGGGTTTTTTGTTTACTGCAAGATTTCAGTCCACTCTGGCAGTGTACAAGTAAGGTGTCAAGGCCTTCAAATCATAAACGAGTTCCTGTACTTTTAACTTGCTCCCTTAACTCTTTCATATCATGTTCACTCCACAAGACACAATCTTGCACCGAGCACCAGAACAAGGGAAATTGGTGGTAAATTTGTAGGTCTTCTTCCACTTTGCAACAATGGTGCTAATAATTATTACCTTCTCACCAAGCCTTTTGTTTTTGTTTGCCATTCCAGCCTTGTGCACATTTACAATCTTGTCCCTGACATCCTTTGATCAATCATTTAGTTTTCCTCATGGGGGTATGGAAATTGGCAGGTAAGAAATGGATTCCTTCAACAAATGGGCTTTATATAAATGATGAGTTGAGATCAGGAGTATTGTATCATGTAGGCCAGTATTCTGGTGGATTTATATGAAATCAAGTACTGAGTGTAATTCTGTTTAAATGTTAACGGCTGTGGATGGTGGTATTCTGTCCCCAAAGGTGCCCAATGACCTACAGTGCTTATACCAAGAGTCTTTCAGCGTTGTTCTGTGCGCCTAAACCAGAAGTTACATCATCGTTTGAGACGCCAGAGAGAAAAGAATCAATTTTACTACTCAGTAACTGAATACTATTCATACTGCTCATCTAAAAACAGATATTTAACCGTTGTCCATTTCAAGGTGACTAAGCTGGGCCATGCCCACGGTGAGCCGCCACTGCCTCTTTGATCCAGTGGTTTTTAAGAGATCTTGAATATTAATCATAATATGCATAGTGAACTGTGCAGTGCAGAGAACAAAAGGCAACCTTAGCGCAATGCAAGTGGAGAAAATATGGAATATAAATGAAAGATACTACTCGAGCAGACGGCCTGTTTCTAGTCACAAGCTGTTAGCTCAACATTCCTCCACTCACCTGTGTGCTTAAGGTTCATTTACGATTTTCACATCTGGTGTCTATCTCGCAGTTTGTGTCGTTTCTCATAGCTTTTAAGAGTCCTCCTCTAATCATTCATTATTGATCAGGGTTTACACTTGAATGCATTCACTACTTAAGAGGCCTGCTCTTTAAGGTTAAAAAAAAATAATTATAATAAAAATGCAAGGTGACATTGTCCAAAAGATATGTGCATAAATACACAGAAATGGCACGTGACTCAAGCACTGATGTTAACACTTGAGATTCGTTTTGATTAGACTACAGAATACAGACCAAGTGTGTGTGCACATGCTCATATGTCTGCTGGTCCATTGGGGGTGGGGTTGAACTATTCAAACTTTCTGGAAATGCTTCTTGTCTCTCACAGCATTTTTACTCAGCAAGTTTACATGACTGTTCCCTCCACCCTCCACTTCCTCCACCACAAAACTCATTTCTCTCAAAACACTTCATTTAAAAAAGGGGGGAAAAATGTGTGTGTTTTCTATATTCACTCCCTTCTCTTTAGTTTTAACCACATCTGAGTGGAATGGTGCCGCAGAAAAATGACTTCAATCCGCGGCCTCTTTCTCTGTAAAGCCGTTTAAAAAAATGCATGTTTACATATTGCCATATTGTTTATAATTGAGCACCAGGAATGCTTCAAACAATAGTTAATACCACAGTTCTTTGAACAACGAAAAAATATACATACAGATACAGCCTATATGTATATATGTATTATTATTAGTAGTAGTAGTATTAATGATAATAGTAGTAGTTGTAGTAGTAGTAGCGGTAGTAGTAGCCATAGTAGTAGTAGTAGTAGTAGTCATTTTGTATTTTTTTTCCAAATAAGTTTACACGACAAGCGGTATTTAGTCGATGAAATGCCATTATTACAAAAATTGTAAGACATTTAACAGGTGGAGGCGTCTGATTTTATAAATGCACGCTATAGTAACATTAAAGAATATGATAGTGTTTTACTATTTCTTTACCCACCCACACATCAATCCATAAAGATACTCATTCTGTATCCATCCATCCATTATCTGAACCACTTATCCTCACAAAGTTAGCGGATGTGCTGGAACCTATCCCAGCTGTCTGCTTCGGGCAGTACTCGGCAGGGTACAACCTAAACTGGTTGCTAGCTAATCGCAGGGCACACAGAGACAAACAACCATTCACATTTACCATCACACCAAAGGACAATTTAGAGTATTCCCTCAACCTACGAAGCGTGTTTCTGGAATTTGCAAGTAAACTGGAGTAGCAGCAAAACTCACACAGGCATGAGGAGAATATGCAAACTCCACACAGGAAGGCCTGAGCCTGGAATCGAACCTTACACCTCTATGCGTGCTTGCCACTCATACTATATATTACAATTTAATATGCACATACAGTAAACACTAATACATAATATCTATTTCCTCATATACAGTTGTAGACAGTGCATTTATGTACTCAACTGCAGAGTACTAGTTGTGCAGTATATTACTGTATGTAAATTATCGGGCATATAGCAGGCCTGAGGTCTTTTTTTTACAATTGCATTTTCTAGCAAAAATTTATAACATGCAATATTTAATAAAAGTTTCCCTCGAAAAAACTAATAACTAATATATTGCGACCTTTTAATACCGCATTACCTTATTTACTAGCCAGGGGTGTTTATTTACTCAACTGCAGAGAGGAGCTGGTGTCGATCAAGTAAGGTGTGCAGCTGAGAGTGAGGAGACCTTCATTTACTACAAATGCCTTGAAAGTAATCTTTACAATTTTTTTCTTCAGCACATTTTTTGTAACTCTTGGCTATTTTCTGTAAAACGCTTCACACCAAGAAAATCTATCACCAAAATGACAAAACATTGCAGTTTACTTGCAAAATCAAAAAAATCTTGCTTAACTTCTCAAACCTTTGTGGCGTGGTATTTTTGCCTCAAACAATTAACACAAG